GGCACTCGGCCACGCTGCACCTCACTCCTCTCGCCCCACACCCCAGGGAAACCCCCGCAGGATTGACCTAGCTTGATCCTGGCTCGTCCAAGAAGCACAGGGGAAGCTGCCCCTGGCCCCCGCACCCCAACCCGCAGCTCTCGGCACGTCCCAGGACTCTGTTCATCCTGTCCTGGCCAAGGGGACGGAGCCCGAAGCCGGAGCCGTGGGCGCCAGGTGGCAGAAGAAACTGCAGCAAAGTGTCCGAGGGTCCGGCTGTGTCCTGTGAGCAGATGGGGCTGCACACAGCGCACTGCGTCCCCTGCCCGGGTATGACCCGGTCGGGAAGGGGGAGGATATTCTGCTCGGGGGTCCGTGATGCCGGTGCCAGGCTGGGTGCCGGGGTCCAGGGCAGCTGCGGGGGGGGATGGGTGGCAGGGCAGCAGCGGGCAGCTGCCCGCTTTTTGGGGATGGTGTAGGCTGAGTCGGTCCTTCCGTTTACCGCAGAGGAGCCCCCAGGTCCCGCAGGGCTGGGCTCAGCCGGGGAAGCTCCCTGTGTACCGCCGTGCTGGGCCCTGGACCCTGCGGGTGGGCAGGTCCTGGCCACGGGCTCATGCCCCTCCATCACCCCCCTCCAGCTCTCCATCCACACCCGTTCCGCCTCCCCTGTGCCTTGTGACCGCACGTGGCCGTCCCTCATGGACGGTGGCTGATGCCTCCAGAGCTGGATATAAATCACCCCACTTCCCGCTAATAGACAGCAGAGCTTCATTATGAACTTTTCCTGCTAATTTGGAGGCACAAAGAGCACACACTTCCCACTTCCTGTCCTTTGGCCCACAGGAGCCTGGCCGGAGGTGGTGGATGTTCCCCCCGGCCCCCCCGCCCCTGCCATTAACCGAGCTTGGCGAGCAGCTGACAGACGTATGTATTGTATGTAATTCCCACTGGCTGATCTCAGATGTGACACTTAGCTTGTCAGGAGGGAGTGAAAAATCCACTGTTGCTTCACGTCACCACTGCCCTTTCTGCCTGCTGAAATCCCCCATGGAGCTGGAGGGGCTGGGGCTGAGCCTTGGGAGTCCCTGTGGATGTCCAGGAGCCTGGGGCTGACACCCTGCTGGGGCGTGGGGGGATGTTTGCGGCACCCCAGGGCTATCTCCATCGAGCAAATCAGGGTGTCTGGCCCCAAACAGTGGGGCTGAGACCCCAAGGAAGGGGATAGGGGAAGGAGAGGCACCAAGCCTGGCACATAATGGGCCCACGTTGCCCTCCCCTGGGTCCTGGGGAGCATTTACCTGGGGGGAAGGAGCCGCGGGGCTGGTGGGGACGCTGTGGGGAGAGGGAATGGTGCTGGGGGGGCCTAGAGCTGGGGAGAGGCTCTCGGCTGCAGCGCCAGGAGCTCAGCAGCTGCCACTGGTGCCTGCCCTGTGCCGGCAGAGCCGGGCGGCAAGCAGCGCTGCAGGCCCCAGGCAGCAGTGCAGCACCCCCAGCCCCTCACTCAGCCCCAGCACGTGGTCAAAGTGCTCGAAGGTGCCACAGGTGGGCTGCAGCAGCTGGGTGTGCAGGAGGAAATCCACGGCCAGCCCCACGCCATAGGGCACCCAGAGCCCAAAGAAGAGCCAGCTCACGCTGATGCTTGGCTCCCAGCGTGCCCTCAGCTGTGGCACCGCCACCATGGCCACCAGCAGCACCGCCGGCAGCAGCAAGAAGAGGCAGAGGCAGAGGACAAGGTGCAGGAGGTACACTGGGGAGAGGATGTCCACGCTCCGGCGGATGCAGCTTGTCTCGGGGCCTGCCACCGTGCTGCTGGCGAGAGCTGCTGGTATGGCCAGCAACAAGGCCCCAGCCCACATAGCCACGGCCAGCCGCCGGCTCCGGGGGTCCCAGCGGCACCAGACGGTGCTGCAGGAGCCACTGCACACGAGCAGCCCCTGCGCGAAGAGGCTCCAGTGCCACAGCAGATGGGTGAGTCGGCACAATGCTGTGCCCAGCCGCCAGCCCTGCCCGATGCCCACTGCCACCGACGGCAGCAGGGCTGCAAAGAGAACCGTCCCCACGGCAAGCTGGGCTACCAGCGCCTGGCTCTGGGGCCAGCCCCAGGCGTGGGGCCGCTTGGCCAGTGCCACCAGCAGTGACCCAGTGCTCAGGGCAGCCATGGCGCAGGTGATGGCCAGGAAGGTGGGGGCCACGCGCTGGAAAAGCGGACAGTACTGGTTGTGGCAGGGAGCGGCGTCGTAGTCCGGGAAGGTCGTGCTGCTGTCGTAGGAGAAGTTGCCCATGATCTCTGACAGGTCCAGGGAGATGCTGCTCTCCAGGACCCTGGGGCTCTGTGAATGAGACCGGTGGGGGTCAGGCAGGGATGTACCTGGCCGACTGCAGGTGGCCACATCCCACGGCAATGCTTGAGACGTTCCCTCCGATGGGCTCCCACCACGGACCTGCTGCCCCGCTGGTGCTGGGGGGTTGGTGCAGGCTGAGCAGGGTGGTTTATCAGGGAGGGACACGCTGCAGGGTGAGGGGAGTCGCCTGCAGCTGATACCTTGGGAGTGTGGGATTGCCCCAGGCTGGCCCTGCTGCTCGTGGGAGTATGTATTTACTCACAGCCCCAAAGGAGGGTTGCAAACCCTCAGTGGGTGGGTGCAAACCCTGCAGCAGGTGGGTCCAACCCCCCCGAGTTGCCTGCAAATGAGTGCTGGCCAGCAGTAGCCACTGCGAGCTGTAGCCCTGCTCGCCCCTGTGCACCCATGCGGCCCCAGCTCTCGCGTGCAGCAGGATGGGAAACCGCTGGGGAGAGGCACTCACCACCGGGATGCAGTTGCCCATGGCACGTGTCCAGGACGGCTCCTCTGCGTTTGGGTTCTCGAAGGGGTGCTGTGTGTGGCAGCCGCTGCTCAGCCACGCGTGCTCTGTGCCTGGCGGCGATGTGCTCGGATGGGCACCACGCACGGTGCCACACGCGCTCCAAGAGCCGCTGCGCACAGAGGGGCCTGCTCCGCTCGCTCTCCTTCAGGCTCTGCTCCTCCTGCTCGAAAGGGAGGCGAGGGACTGCAGTAACGAGATAAGAGCTGCCTCCTTCATAGCAGCCCTCCTGGCCTGGCAATCCCCTTTGCCGGGGCCTGACGGAAACGGGTGGGCCATTGCTGCCGGTAAAGCCAGTGAGCTGCCAGCTCAAGCCTGCAATTTCTCGAGCAGGAAACAACTGCTTCTTGGCAGAAGACCTTAAATTAATTGCGGATTGTATTTGCAGGCACCCTGGCTGTGTGGATGCTCCTATTGCTGGCCTGGACTCAGGCACATGTGGAGTTTCATCCCAGGGATTCTGGCTGCACACAAGTGGGGCTCCGGGGTGTAGGGTGGGTGCTGCGGGTACAGGTGACTGCTTAGGGGACCCTACAGCAGAGCAGTCTGGGCACATGGTGCTTTCCAGCTCCCAGCAGCAAGGAAATCCACAGCTCTTCCTCAGGAGGCTCTGCTGGGAGGCCGGATCCTGAAAGGTCACCCTGCGGCACTGGGGCTGAGTCACAGGCTCCCTGGGCTGCAGTGGCAGCAAGTCCAGCTTGGGGGACTGGCAGGGGCCAGTGGCACTTGGTGGCCATCACGCCTGGTGGGAGAATCCCCACAGGGTGGTGCGGCTGGGGGGTGCTCAGGGGGTCGGGACTGAGGGCTCCTGTCGTTTGGGGGGGCTGGTAATTTGGGGGAAGCTGAGGGTCAGGGTCTGGGTGCCTGTGGTGGGTGTCTGGGGGACTGGGTGAGGGGATTTGGGGGTGAAAGGGCTGGGGCTCAGTGGACAGGCAGCTGATGGAGACTGTGGTTTGGGGGGCTGAGGGCTTGGGGCGGGCTGAGCTACGTCCCTCCAGCAGCCTGAGCTCTGCCCATGCCCCTGGCTTCGGAGCCCCTTGCTCCCCCTCACTCCCGGGGGGGGGGTCACAGCCACAACTCCTCCCAGACCCTGGCAGCATCCGGCGCACGCAGGCAGAAGCAGAGACGCGCACTCAGGTAACGTGTGTAATCCAGATATATTTATAGGATTATTTTCTGAGATTAGCACAGGATATTAGAAAGGTTATAAAGTCACATCGACGTTCGTTGTCTCCCTTTTACGTACATACAAGAACACAGCACAACAACACAGACCGTCCTCTGCCCCGCTGCCGCCCCACGGCGTCTCCAGAGCTCCCTACAAATATGGCTTTCGTGTCTATTGAGAGTTCAGTGCCGGCTGGGAAGCGGCCGGAGCCTCACTGGGGCTGGTGAGCGGGAGCGAACAGGCCTGTCTGCAAACAAGGGCCACAGTGTCCCAAATCCTCCTCGCTCCCCCGGTGTCGGGCCTGGCCATGTCCTGGTTCGGACGCCCTGGGCCCAGCATGTGACTGCGGTGGCACAGGCTGGACGTGGGGCTGGAAGTCCCCTGCCCGCACGGTCAACAAGGACCCCCGGCTCCCGAGGGGACACCGAGGCCCAGGGAGGTGTCGGGTGCCCTGGCTTGCCCTGCCATGTGGTGACACCGCACGGCTCTGCTGGGTGCTGACAGGGAGGAACGAGGGCCTGGTGTCCCCCCTTGCCTGTGACAGCGTGTCCCTCATGTCACTGCCCCAGCAGCACCGCCTGCCCCATCCCTTCTTCATTCTGCAGCACGGTGCATGCACCATCGACACATCAGTGACACCACGTACCTGCCCGTGCCACTGCTGGTGTGGGGTGTCACCACCTGCTAGCATCTCATCCCCTCACACAACCCACATCACCCCTTGTGCTTATGACACAGTGTACCCAACCCTCCTCGACAGACCAGACCCGATGTACCACGGCACCGCGCACACGTACAACAGGACGTGCCCCAGTCCTGATGCAGGGCGTACCCCATCACCCCTCCCTCCCATCACCCTGACACACTCATGTGGTGCAGCTCATGACTGACACCCATCGTGCTGTGTAGCTGTTCCTCTACACACCCGTGACACAGTGTATTCATCACCCCAAGAGAGTCAGCACATGATGTACCCCACCATGCCCCTGGGCTCCCTTCACACCCATGACACCATCTATTCATCAGGCCTCAAACTCACAAAGTAGTTTCTCCACCACACTCACAATATAGTGTGTCTCCATCGTGACATGGGGTCTCCATCGCCCTCACGCCCATGGCAGTGGATCTGCTGCTCCCTTGCATCTACCAAAGCCCTTTAGCTCTTGCTTGCAGATGCAGCCTCGTGTTCGCGCTTCCAGCACTGCCAGGACCTGCCGTGCCTGGGGCTCAGCCTCTTGCCGTGGCCACAGCAGGACAACGGGCTGGCCTGGGGTGAGACCCGGCCCCATCCTTTGACGACATCTGCCCCAAGGCCCTGCCTGTGCCCAGTCCTCCCTGTGCTGCATCCTGCCACATCCCAGACCATGCAGCGTATCAAAAAGACCAAATCCTCACTTGTCTCACAAGGACATAGTGTTAGCAACCAGCACCAGCCCCTGAAGCAGCTTTGGAGCAGCAGCACTGGGGAGACACTAACCATGGCCGTGCCCGTGCTACCTGGAAGGGGCATAAACCTCCCTGTCCAGCCTCTGCTCCCACATCCCTTTCCCTAGGGACCAGTTAACCCCCTTCCCTCCCAGACCCCTGGGTTGGGGCTTGCTTTGTAACCATCTACAGCACGTAGACTTACAATGAGATTAAATTGTACTTGAAAACACATCCTCGCATTTTTATTTGAAGGAATTACGTCTATTTGATAGTGGATGTTAAAGATCCTCAGCAAAGCATCAGATCACACATTCATACATGCTCAGTGTGCAGTGGAGTAGTTAACAGCATCGACATCTGCAGTGTTATCTCCGGCAGCAGCGGTTGCATCCCTTGAAACGAGCTCGGAGCTACCACTGGGACTCCAGGCCAACGTCCTCCTCCAGAGAGATGGGAAAGGAGGAACAACATCGAGAAAACGATTTTCTTTGCTGTGTACGATGAAGGCTTTGCGCACTTCTCTCTCGAGGTGCTAATGCCCTGCTGCCTCTGTGCTCCTGACACACGATTTAGCCACAGTGAACCCATACGCATCTGTGCACGTGCCACAAGTGCATCGCTCATTCACACCCTGTGTCTGCCACTGAGCCGTGACTCTTCTTCCTTGCCCGCCTGGCCCCAGCCCCCTTCCAGCCCCACTCGCTCTGCAACAGCTTCCCCACAGGCGTCCTCCTCGTGCCACGCGCTCGCGGGGTCTGGGGGTGAGCAACAGTACCTGTCCCATGTGCACCTGGTACCCCACAGCGGAGGACACAAGCTCTTCCTCCACCACCAAGGGCTTTTGCTCCTTCCCAAAGGGCTCTCCTCCTCCAGACAACCCCAAACTGAAGGGGTGCCCAGCCAAAGGGCAGCTCCTGCAAACCCCTTGTGTTCAGACCACAAGATGTTGGGATCCTGGGAAGTTGGGAACCCCCATCCCAAGGGCGAGGGATGAGGCCTGGCTCCCCAGAGTTGAGGGGTGTCCTGCAGATGCTGGAGCACAGAGCCCCTGGCAGTCCCATCCTGGGCGTGTGTGGCTGGGGTGGGCCAAGGGACCCTGGGGACGTGCTGGAGAGCTTGGAAAAGCTTGTTTTTGTCTCAGAAGAGATAGTGAAATGGGTAGGAGACAGGGCAAGCACCCCCCCAGCCTCCTTGGAGACCCCCGAACCACCAAGACACTAAACCTGGGCATTTCGGCTGCTGTTGGCTGCAGTCTGTGGAGCTGAGAGGGAAACAGCCTTTTCCAAGCTCACAGCAGCCCTGGGAAGGGGCCGGGGAGGGAAGGGGGACAGACACCTCCGAGAAGCAGACCCCAGTGGAGCCTGTCTCTGCACATCTCCTTGGTCAGAGCAGTCCCAGGCCTCATGCTGCTCTGGGCTGTTTGTGCCCAGGAGCAGGTCATCTCCAGCTCAGCTCAGCTCCCGTGGTGCCAGCACCTGTGCCAGCTCTGGCTGGAGCCACCCTCGGGGTCTCAACTACCTTTCCAGAGGCTCCAGGGGCCTCAGAGCCAGCCCAGCGAAGAGGAAAGTGGCAATAGCTGCAGGCCCACTGGCTCTCCCGGTGCTCCCAGCGCAGGCGGCCTCCTGCACTGAACATCTCAATAGATGGTTTAAATTTGCATTTCCAATCTGAGAATTTGTAAAGTTGGGGCTTTTTCTCTGGATTCACCCCCAAACCTCTGCCCTCCCCCCTCCCGCTGGGGTGGGACCAGGGAGCCACAGTGCCCAGCAGCTCCCAGTCTCTCTGGGGGCCTCAGCGGTTCCCACCCTGGAAGCTCACCCCCCCTCACACATCTACCACACGAGGACAGCTCTCCTCCCGAATGGACACTGTTCGACAAGAACCACCAAGGATAAAATCAGGGCAGGGGCCTGGGGTCCCTCCCTGCTCGACCCCAGCCACGTGCCAAGCCCTTGGAGGCAGAGGCGCTGCCTGTCGGCATCCTGCTCCCATCCCGCCGGCCACGCTCCCTGTCCCAGCTGGGGCTGGGGCCATCACGTAGCAGCTGAGGCTGGGGGGAGCAGTGGGAACGTGGGTCCTGGCTCTCCGTGGGAGGCATGAGGCGAGTGTTTGTGACAGGGGGGCTGCCCAGCTGCCCCGAGCTTGCACCAGGGCCTGGAGCTGATTTTATCCTTGGATGTCAAAGAAACCAAAATGGAGAGAAACAAAGGAAAGAGCTACATCAACCCCAGCCCAACATCCCAACCAAGGGCCCAAAGCAAAGAGCAGCCACAAAACCAAAGCAAACGTCCAAAGGAAGAAGGAAAGTCGCTCACTCACTGGTTGGTCTGTGTTTTGCGCGAGCGCCGGTCGCAGGGATGGAGGTGCA